GGTACAGCCATCTCGGCCGGAGGGATGCAAGTAAGTGCAGTATGCCATCCGGCCTGTCTGCGCTTTTTGATCCAAGGACATCAATGAATCTCACCAAACAAATAATTAGCGGGTGGAACAGAATTCACAGATTTTAGTCGTAGTATGTCCTGAAAAGAATAGTTATAGATCCTAGACATGATTAGCACCGAGATATGGATGAGACAAACACGATAAATTCCAACCTGACGAATAAGCACAAGACTGTAGCGCAGCCAATCGAATAGTTATCGACAAAGCTGAATGACTGGGTGACGAAAAGCTTTATGTTACCAAAAATGCCATCCGAAACCTCACCAGAAAGCTTCCCATCAGCCGCTGTGCAACACTTTGTCGTCTACCTCAAGTAAACTGTCTAATAACTCAAGCTGGAAAACCACCTGGTAATCAAGTGATGAGAAGCCATTTGCTTCTAAGTTTTCCTGTCCTGTTCAACTTCTGATTGATACAACCACACACAGATGTGCAGTGATAACCATGAATGACAGTATAGATTTGTAAGCATGCGCTTTCTGATGGACAGGATTACCTCTGACTGGTGGATCGCTAAGTGTACCGCGTGAGTCACGACTGGAATAGAGTCATGTCCTGGTTGATGTGCGCCTAGATGCACCATCGTACAGTAAATGAAATCGGCTGTCTGTCCGTCACTCACTCACCTGACAGATTTATTTTAAGGACGGGATTTTTTATAGACAGACTTCGTATTCAACTTGTCATTTCGAATTTTAAAGACGATGTGGTTATCTGCTCCGAACGGCACTCAGGCTGAATCAATAGTCTAACGGTGAGACTTATGGAGACAGGCAATGTTTGTGTGGAATATATTACACCGTCAGAACTTGAAACCCATAACTACGTACCACGGTGCATCGATTTTCTCCGGGTGCTGACTGTATCGTTGATACCGATTTCAGCGTTCTTATTCAATTTAAGCTACCTACATCGTATATTCCTTAGATCTTGTCTCACCCTCGACATTAGTGTCTAATCTGTCTTCTCCGAAATGTGGTATTGAGCACTAATTTAAAGTTCATACTTCATAGTTATTTCATTAGGAAACGTGAAATTATGTAACAGAGAATCAGTCATTCGAAAAGTGAGCATGTTTCACCGTAATGACAGTGAGACAGTTTACATAACCAGTTGAACCGCATCCGATTCTCATAGCTCAGTTTCAACTGGTCGTTCAGATTAACATACACACAAATAAGCACACATCTAGCCACATGTGCATGAGCAGCGAACCGAGTGATCACATTTAAACTGAATGAAAATTGTTGAGACTTGATAACTAGGCTGTGTGAGCAAGATGGGTGTTCGCGACGACGGCAGAATAGTTGGCGCGATTTAGTGACATGCGGAATTGGTAATGGAATGGATGAACTGATTTTGTTTTTTTTTTCTAACCATTTAACTACCAACCCTTTCTTATGCTCTACACGCCTCCCTCCCAGGCCTTGGACTCCTACCGAAATGCTTTTTTTGAATGAAACGTGAGTGATCCGGTGTTTACGTATCAGTCCATTTTCAAATGGATGCGTGGAAATCCGATCCAATGGAAAATATCCACAGGTTCAAAATCAGTTACATCCAAATTATAAATGCATCGCTCCTAACTGTTAGAGCACGAATTGACCAATAGAGAACATCCAGACATTACGGTGGTTTGTACTGGCTAGTGGGTGGGGTTGGACAGGAGACAAGTGAGTGTTCGGTGTACACCGAGACATTTTAAAATTCCTGTTCCAAATGTTTACTTAGGATATCGTACATTTGGCCAGTTTGGTGAAAACAAAAATTTGTTTCTCTTCCTAGTGGAATCCTGGGGCAACGTACAACAAGGCGTTCGGAAAGAATATCATACTGTAATCAGTTCACCCGTCAATATGCATCGCCTGGATTTTCTCATCACTCCAATTTATGGATGGTGATCGAGTAGCACCTCCGTAGATAGATAAAATACAGTGCGGTTGATGATGTTAAACTTTGGATGGTGGAATTGATCAAAGCGGTTATTCTGGCGAAAGAAGCCACAGGAAAACAAGTCAAACTCCGTCCGCATTTCATGAGCAGGTTATCAGGCTATAAATAAAACCTCCAGGTATCAATTTAGAATAAACTTTCATCTCTATGGGTACGTTGAAATCAATATGAAGTTATTTTCAGGTATTGAATCCATAAGATGATTATGGATCACGGTCGGCTTTGCTAGTATTAGTCAACAACCAGTGTTCGCAGTCATATGTAAAACTTTGATGTTCCGAGGCTTAATGTCATTCTAAAACGTTGGGATCAAATGCTACGATCGTCTCCTGATTCAGTTACCCGGGACGAAAGCGCAAAAAACGGTTCCGTTCCGAATGATCAAAGGACATAAATGCACTGGTCAAAATGAATGAGGTCCGGAGGATAGTTAAGAGAATGATTTCGAAAACGAAGCCCCTTGGTTTAAATGGAACCACTTTCATACTGCTTTTACTAAAAGCGCTATTCTGACATTCGTGATTAAGAGTCGGTTAACATGCTCAATAAATGTCAGAAAAAATCAGAAATGAAATTTGTTCTGTTTTTTGTCAGTTGTTTGTCACTTATTGATCACTGTGCATCCATCATGAATACCACTTACCGACATGATCGGTGGGCTTGTGTACGAGAGAATGTTCTTCGCGTGGTAACCTTATGATGCGGACTAACTGAATTATGGAGACCGAAAGTAGCCACCTCCGCCCATATTGATCAGTCTTATGCCGTATTTTTGGGACCACAACTAATTGCAGCTGAACGCTGAAAAACTTCGAATGCAGGAAACAAATCAGGTCTGCTAAGGAAACGCTTATGCACACAGAGGGTGGATCTCTGGCAGCTCGAAAAATTATACGGTGCAGAAAAGGTCATCATCATAAAGAGAAGAGACATCAATGCAACAGTAAGAAAAAGATCTGGCCCAAGAGTCGTTCCTTAAGAGTGAAGGTAGTTCATGTATGATTGGCAGCATTGCAACAAATGTATGAAAGAAAAGTATTTGTTTTGGTGATTATTTGAAATTTATGATGTGACCTCTATCTATAAGCCCATCAAATGTATTAACTACATGAAAAAACGTAATTACTTATGTTTTTACTCTTGTAGATCGAAAACAATCTCCTTGAAAAAAGTGCCCGATATGGTCATTTTATCGCAAGTTGAGGAAAGATAGCGAGGAACAGTACAAGAAGGAAGGAGAAACTCATGCAACCTCAGATATCAAAATAGAGTTTGGTGTCAACTCTAGTCCCCTGTATCTTTTTAAACCAAAAGACGACCTGTTTAACAAAAAAAAAGGTTTACGTTCACAACTAGACCCAGAAGGATTGTGAACAAACTGATTGGGAGATCGGCGAAGAAAACCACTTGATAGGACCAAGTTCGGAGGTAAAATGGGATATCATTACACCATGAAAATGAACCCCAAGGAATAGAGCAAAGATTAGCAATGAAGCTGAATTAGCTTATCGTGCAGTCAATCACGATTGAAGTGGTGGCTATTCGGATCCGTCACACCCAACTATGCCAACGGAGGTGAGTTATACACACCGTGAGTTTGCCCTTGTTATCAACCGTTGGTTGAAACGACCTATCGAAATAGCATAATTCAGTTGTGTGACCAGCTCAACTGTCTGATGCTTGTCTTTTCTGCAGCCATCAACGTCCGAAACTCCATCGCCCTCTAAATTATTAAGGTTTCGGATGCTATCGAAGGTAAAGACGACAAGCGTCTGTTTCATGAATCCTGAATTGTTCGCCAAACCGAGTACGATCCACGCATTAAAACTCCCTTGATTGTGGGAGAGCTGATTTGTTTATGCACGTGATGATTGCGCAACACAGGTAATTTTGCTTACGCAACCCGAGTACCATACCAATTTAGAGTGCATTTGGACTCATTTAGATAACAGCGACAAAGCTTCTTTCTGGTTGCTTCATGTAAGTGTGATTCCACATCCCCGCGAAAGAACGAATTTACGCCAAACATTCCCAAAGGATCTGTGCAAGACCCGCGACTTTTGCTAACATTCATAAATGACCTATCTAAGGCTCTGGGGCCAAAATCACAACTGTTTGCAGATAACACCAAAAGTTGGAATGCAGTGATGCAACTAGCTGTCTCGCTGAAACTCCAGGGAACACAGAGAGCATCTCATCTCTGGGCTCTTGTGAACGATATCGAATTAAATGCACCAAAGTGATCTGTCCTATCTATACGACACAGTGAGCGATGTTTGTATTTCCTCGGAACTGAAAAACTTCCACACGCCTGGAGTGAGAAGGACCTGAGTATCATCAATTCCAGAAGACTTGAGCTGCTCAATCCACAGCGCCAGGGTGTCGAACTCGGCTGTAAATAATGTCGGTTTGCTTAGGCGTGTCATTGGCCGTCTGGAGTCAGCGCAATTCCCACATCTGCTATCAGCGTACACTTGCCCACTCACAGAGTACGCTATCCAGACATGGAATCTATGGCTACAACGTGATTGCAAAATTATACAGCGTTCTCAAAGGATAGCCCGTAAAATGGTGAAGGGGTCAAATCGCTACTCATGCGCAGAGAGACTGGAATCGTTGGTGTTATATCTCAAGCACTACCGGTGCAATAGTGAAGACATGATTATGGTATGCAAAACCCTAGCCATCCGTATCACCCACTGTTAAAATTATAAGCGAAGCTTCGTGCAGCAGTGGAAGAGGTCTGTATCATGTGACATTTTTACACGTGGAATTGTATGCATCACTATATTTTAACAATAACACGAACCTATGGGACGAGAAAGGTATAAAATTGCAAGTTAGTTCCATAATAAAACTTTGAACCTTTGGATCACAGAATCATTTAAATACTACTGCATAAAACATCTGCACCATGTCACATCGGGCTGTCTCGATGTGAGGTCATTTCAGAAAGTTTAAACTATTGGACTTACTACATCCAAAGTGGTTGCCTTCAGTACTTGCGCATAACGCTCTTGGTCGTACGGCAGTGAACATAGCACATTGTCTCTAACTGTGCCCGGGAAAATCCAGGATATCTGAGGCATGTATGCCAAGCTGTCCGATCGCATGATGAAGCCCTCAAAATGAGGCAGCTCACCCAATGCGGCCTGTAGCAGCGAAGACTGTCAAACAAGAACAGGACGGAAAGAAGCAGTATTGAGGGATTCGTACAAACGCATAAGATCGATCTGAAGTAAGTGGTCATTTCGGAGCCCAAGCTCCAAATATATTTTTTCCGACGATGTCTTTCTTCTCCTCAGTCAAGACCGATCTATTTATTCAATAATTCTAGAAAATAAATCACACCGACTGGATCGACTTGGATATGAACAATGAAAGATAAATATAAATTTATAGTGTGTTGAGCTCGAAAATTGATTTCCAACGTTTCGTCACCAGTTAACAGGAAATGTTTGATGCTTGCACTTTGGCTGAACCACAAGGATCAGTTTTAAGAAACTCGGAATTATGTTATAATTCACGTCAGGTAATTGTTTTATTGAACCTAGTGGTGAGTATTTGGCCTTCTAACAATACATTAAGTATTTTCACTGTAGCCATTCACGTTCTGGGCACATATTTATTCATCCTCAGAAAATTTCACCATTATCTGGTGTGCAATCAGCGTATCTATGCACACAAGTGGATTTTGATGCATGTACATGTTACAAACAAGTTATTTAGGGATTTAGACTGATTCCTTCCAATGCATTCCCAGTTCCGTGCTCAATAGTTACCGGATTCGGCGAAAACTATCTCAAGCAGTCTTCTTGATTTGTTTAATGACTCTATCAATGTTCGTTTCTTATTCTTTAGAACAAAGGAACACCTTCGTTCCGCTCTATTTGGTTACTCCTTCGAACCGCCAGATGTAACTGGGACAGGCTCCCGTATAGCATTGAGTACCACTGACTGTTAGCAGTAACAAAGTCTGCCGTAACTTTGTACAGAAAGTTTCTAAACTTGGAATATATCATTGGTTTCTTAATAGGCGTTTGAATTTTTAGTGTCATAGTAACATATATATAGCTCACAACAAAGCACACTTGTATTCGTGTGAGTGTAATTCCGATAGCTTACCAGGGATAGTATACCATTTACGAAGATTGTACCATATACAAGTACAAGTAAATGAATGAACTGACAAAAGATTACCGGACGGACATGCCTGACGAGCGGCGAGCACAGCAAAACCGGTCATGTGCCTCCAGGGAAATTTTGTCTAGTCAATCATATACTTTCTATTATGAAAAAATATGCATACCATCGATTGCGAATAGGCATGGTACCAACGCAACAACAACAAAAGCAGAAAATGAAGTAATCGAATTACAGAACAGAAAAACATGGAAAACTAGCAATTATAGTGGAATAAGAGAACACAAATTACAATGTTTTTGTTTGTTTCACCACAAACTCTATTCAATTGTATCTAGTAGGACTCCACTGGATATCTGTGTTCCGCAAGTTTCGGTCAGTCAGTTTTGGTCTCTCTCTTATTGTAAACTCTGACGTAGAAAACATGATGTAGATCCGTCTGTTTTAGTCATTAAGCTGATAAACGTCAACGTAGGTATTCAACGGGTCTCATTAGTGATGTAATGGTCAAGGTTTATGTTCAGTATAACATAAGGGTATTGCTGTTCTTTAACCGATTTTCTCATCCTCCGTAAATGGCACTCATTTCGTTTTTTGCGTGCTCCTTTAGCCATGTTCGTACATAAGCATATATTCATTTAGAACCATGAAAGATTTTTTGCTTCACAAGTCCGGCTGAGGTTTCACTATTCTACCTTTTTCCTTAATTAACATCAATCAGATTTGTAGTTATCATATCTATCTATTCAACAACATGAAATTGATTGCACTTGCGAGAGAATAATACCTAAGATACATGTATCTACTTCCTTTTAGC